GACAAAGAAAGCCTCTAGAAAGCCAAAAGTCAAACCGGAAAGATGCTCAATCCACATGGCAGGGGAGAACAGGAAGCTCAGCTGCAAGTCAGTCCACCCCCTCCAGGAAACACTGCCAAGCCACCGGGCCAGGACACTCACAGGCAGTTTAGACAAGAGGTCACTGTGCCTCCCTTGTCACAAGACAAACGGGACTCAGCTGCAGACCACGGGGAGCCTGGGGGTCCGGATACCCGCCCCCAGGGCCCGCCAGACGCCAGGCAGCATGGGCCTGAGGACCTGTGCCTGGAAGCAATTCTCCGAAGGCGCAGGAAGGGAGGCCCCAACGCAGTGGAGATGGAAACTGGAATTCAGAGGCAAGGCGGCTCGAGTCTGGGACAGGACCTGTAAAGAGGGAGCTGCACAGCTCAGGGGATCTGCCGGGGGCCCTCTAGGGTCTTGGATCAAACACCAACCTGCACGTGTGGGAGGAACCCCATGCACGTCACATGAGTGACTTTTGAGGAAAGAACCATTCCCAGGCCCCCGGGGATGAGCTGGGTCCCCGAGGCCAGCCCACGTGGGGAGAGGTCACGAATACACAGCATGCTCAGCGCGGGCCCTGGGGGGGCCAACCTCGGAAGTGGGAGCGCGCCATCCCTCCCAGGGCCAGTCCAGAGCCGCCCCAATGAGCTCAAAGCCCGACCTCGAAAGGTGGACTTGACCCACAGCAGCGAAACTGCTGCCAGGGACAGAGCGGCATTCTTTCAAGGGACATCGTGAAACTCAGCGCTCAACCGTGAAAACGTCACAATGCTGGGCACCCAGCACACTTTCTAGACATACTCAGTAGCGGAAAGACGTGGCCGTGAGCAGATCAGTCAACAGAAGCAGCAGGAATGACGAAGACGGAATTAACACAAAGGAAAACAATCATTCTAAGGACGCACCAGATGCTCAAGGGTTTTTTTTAACAAGTACGATGAGAAGAGGAGCAGAAGACACCTGTGTAAAAGGACAAAATGAATTTCATAGAGACGAGAAACACAGTATCTGATCACGGAAAATACTCAGCCTTGGGTTAACAGCGGCGCAGACAGCACCGGGCATCAGGGGCCGTGAAGCAGCGGGAAGAACCCACCCAAAACGAAGCCCGAGCAGGAAAGAACCCAGGGTGGGGGCAGAGGCTGCTGGCCGGGGGCCCGTCCAGCGGCCTGACACACAAGCACCGGGACTGCGGAGGCGAGGAGAGAAGGCGCCAGGGAGAAACCCGAAGAAGTAACAGCTGGAAACTTCCAAATTCAATTAAAAAAAAAAAACTAAATGCACAGATCTAAGAAACGCAAGAAACCCTAAAAGGACACACACACCCCTCCCAAAGCATATCATGATCAAACGACGGACAACCAGTGACGGGCAGGGAAGCCTTAAACTCCAGGAAGAGAGACGCGTTACGTGCAGCGGGGGGAAGCGTGCATCTGTCAAGGGAGAGAAACCACACGGATAACTTAAGGGGGAAAAACTGAATAGGAAGAATTATTAAATAGCAACAGGGGATGGTCCACTAAGATATGGACAACTTTAAAGAACAGAGGAATCTCAGGTCTGGGAGTACCCCGAATTCCTCGGACGGAGCAGCCCCGAGACGCTGCAGCCAAAACAAGGCGCTCACTCAGCTGAGATCTGTCAAGGCCCGTTGATGGAAGGACTGATCCCAGAGGCGTGGACAGGGTTTGGGGACCAAGAAAAAGCCATTTCTGCCCCTGGGGCTGGAGCCAGAGGCACCCCCCACCCCCCCAGAGGCGGCAGCCCTGCGGGAAGGTGCTGCTGGGCTCCGGGACCGACTAAGCCCCCAGGAGCAGAGGCATCCGCCTCCCAGTCAGGTGCAAGAGGACCGCCTCCCACACCCCTCAGCGCCCCTCTGCCGCCCTCCCAACGCCCGCAGGGTGGGGATGACCACGGGCGCAGGGTTTCAAAGAGCCCCGCTCCCCCTGCCCCCAGGGAACACAATGAACGAGGTGAGGAAGAAGGTCCAAGGAGAGAGAAGCTAACCAGTTCATCTGAAACACCACACGGATTTTTAAAAGATCTTAAATCGGGATTGACACACTTTTCTGTAAAGGGCCGGACTGTGCAGGCCATCCGGTCTCCCTGGCAACCACCCCACTCGGCCGCTACAGCCCGACACCGACACTGACCCCCCAACTGAGCAGGCGTGGTCGGGTCCCAGTAAAAATTTATTTATGGACACTGGAACTTAAATTGCGTATGATTTTCACATATCTTGAAATATTGTTTTTCTTTTGATATTTTCTAACCATTTAAACACGTAAAAACCATGCTCAGCTCAAAGCACAGAAAATCAGGCCACAGGCAGGATCTGGCCAGCAGGCCAGTTTGCCGACCTCAATCTTAGACCAAGTCACCATCAAGAACAAACCCAATTTTCTCCTAAAACCAAGCAGATCCTTACTGAAAGCACGCCCTGCGCCTGGTGCAGCGCTGACGAGGTCAGGCTCCTCTATGCGGACCGTGCCCAGGTCGCCCCCACGTGGCTCTGGGCACCCCATTCTGTCCCAGGCCCACCCCCCGTTCCTGGACTTTTCTGTCCAATCGGCCCCCGGCCTGGGGCGGCCCGGATGCCCCTGTGGGAAGCAGCCCTCAGCAGCTCACGAACAGCTCTGTTTTCAGATCAGTGTTTAAAGTAAAACAAGGCACTTAGGAAAAATATGAAGCATCCAGCTTTTGATACACAAAACGATTTGTTTCCAAGCGCCGTGGGAAAGCCCACACCAAAACAGTATCTTCAAATCAAAAAGCGAATGTTTCAGTCACACACAGTACACTCATCAAACACTGTTTTGCTCGATGTATTTCGGAATTAGTTCCACGTGTCGCTGCTAAACTTCCAGAAGCTGCGGAAAAGCTCATCTTTATGATCAGTGATTAGACTTCAGCTGACACGGCCGCTCTCCAACACACGAACAAGTTCAAATCAACATCACGAACACACACATCGCCCATCCTCTCCCCGTAGAGCACGCATCCAGCCAGGACTCCCCCGTCCTCACACGTCCGCAGACAAGCCCACTGTTTCCACGACGTCCCTAGGGGGCACCTGAGCTATTTAACTCCTCTGAGGTCTCAACATGGAGGCCCAAGGCGAGGGGCTGCCTGCTGGGCGGTGTGGAGGACCACCGGCAGACGAGGAGACAGGAGCACATGCTCCCCCGCGCTGCTGTGAAGCGGGCGCGGCCGGCATGGGAGGTGCTGCGGGACGAGCGGGAGGGATGGGGGCCACG